GATATCTTCTCAGTATTGTTTTGGCCTTTCCTTGTCACGTGAAAATATTAGATTTTTGCTCTTGGTTTTTTGTATCCCTCCGCTATGCCTCGGGAGACAACACAACCTCGAGCTGAAGTCTAATACCTTTTTCCCTTGTATAATAAATAACTATCATTGTGTGATGATAAACTTGAATGTTGTAATAGTCATTTATGTAACAAGTGCGTAAAGAGGTACTTTTCTATACGAGTAGGAAATGTTGATGCACGACGCCGAAGGCAGAGTGCAGCAATTCCTATGAGTAAAAAAAACACACTTCACGCACGTGTTACATACAATATTCTTCCTACAACTGTCAAAAAAAGAGGACAAGAAATAGCCGGGCTAATTTGAATAAATCGTTCATCCCACTCGCGTTCAGCGATGCTAATCAAATCATACATGAGATGCAAGCATATATTATTATCTCATACTCGAAGATATCATGGCGCCTTCTTCTGGCTCCCATCTTCCATTTCACTGTCACTCCATACGAAATACGAAGTCATTCGCCTTGATTTGTTCGCTTGCTGCCTTGCTGCATCATTTAAAGGAGCCCATAGACTGCGTTGTTGCTGGACTGTTTTGTTCGACGAATAAGTCTGTTCGGACAAAAATGACGCAAAACCGAAGTGTGTGGCTGCAAAATGGTCGTTTTCGCTAGCCACACATCCACCAACAACGCAGTGTATGGGCCCCTTTCAAACAAGCATTCATTCCATCGTCTATAGCAACAACCGTAAAAAAAGTTCACTTTTTTTCACACTTAGCCGTAAAATAATGAAACTATATTTTGATATTGGAAAATTGTATGTACACTTTAGGCACACTAACTATATCAAAAAGTGTTCTTTTACTGTTTAGTGAAAGAAAGTTTTCATGCATGACTATAGGTGGAATATATGGAAGGAATGCGAATTTTATCAACGACACTATACGACCTTATACAGGGTAACTCACGGTCGATGGTACGTTAGACGTTTATGGAGAACGCAACAAAGGATTTTTCTGAAAATTCCGCATCTTACATTTCATCACCTGTTCTATCGATCTAAAATATTTTCGACATTGCGACGTTGCCGTTTCTATCAAAAAGTCCTAGCAACTACATTTTTTTAAATGGAACACCCCGTATATCAACAAATTTTTGGAATTACCTTTTCATTACAATACTCTTTTGTTGATAAATCCCTATACCTATCTTTATCGGTTTTCGAGATAAAAAATAATTTGTGTTAAATATGATCAAAAACATATCCCTAATTGAACTTATGTAAATCAGGGCTCTCGAATCATAAAGAGTTGATATTTCAGTGGTGGTTTGGACAGGCTTGATGTATTCAATATACACCGAGAAGTCGCCTCCATATCATACAGGGCGTGCTGAAATTATTATTATATCCGTTGTTCATACAAGTGGTCAAAAGTTCATTTTTTCAAATGGAACCCACTGCTTTTTACTCAATAAATTGAAAGACGAATAAAAATGCTACAAGATGACATATGTTTTGGATCATATTTAACACAAATTATTTTTTACCTCGAAAACCGATAGAGATAGGTATAGGGATTAATTAACGAAAGAGTATCGTAATAAAAAGGCGATCCTGAAAATTTTTTAATATACGGGGTGTTCCATTTAAAAAAATGAAGTTGCTAGGACTTTTTGATAGAAACGGCAACGTCGCAATTTCGAAAATATTTTAGATCGATAGAACAGGTGATAAAATGTAAGATGCGAAATTTTCAGTGAAATCCTGCGTTGCGTTCTCCATATTCGTCTAACGTTCCATCGACCGTGAGTTACCCGTATAGGTACATGCATGCATTATGAACTTTTAATACTTACACGGTTACCGATGAACAATGAACATAATATGGATTTCAAATAATCACTACCTACATAATTACCTACTTCAAGTTTTTGTTGGGCCTCCCTGTTCACTAATTTCATAAAGCGGATGCCATAAAAGAGTGCAAAATATTTCTTTGATGTCTCTGCATCGTATAATGAACAACTAAATATAACAAATTTTCAACTTTTTGATCCGAATAGACATCAGCAGAAGTCGACAAGGTCTACCTTTAATAATTATTGCAGGTCAAAGGGCATTTTAATAACGCATAAGGTATCTACTGCACAGACAAATTATTTTCATTCACACACTTCACTCTCCCTACATAATATTCTCTGATTATTTGGACTGTTGCTTCTATGCGGATATTTCTACATTATACAGGGTGTTATTTGAGTATTTGACCAAAGTTCAAAGGGTGATTATTTGGGTAATTCTAAGACGAAAAGTTCAAATAAACATATAGGTCCAGGAATGTTTCTTTTTCAAGATAGGTACAAGGTGTTGAGGTTGGGAGTATTGATTGTTGTTTCTCATGATTAGGTACCCTGTATAAGTTTTCATGATGGCAAAATTCAGTCTGGTTGGTGACTGAAAAAGTCTCAAAATTTCAGAATAATACTATTTAAGGTTTTTTGAGGACACCTACATTAAAATTTGAATACAAATACATTTTTCATTCTCTCCTCAGAAACCAAGTGATGTACAAAAATGTAATGAAGAACAAGAAAAGTGTGTTTTTATTTTTTCAATCTGATAAGAATATCGAACTTGGAAAAAAAATATGATGTATAGGCCTGGGAAAAAATATCGATATATATCGATAAATATAACGATATATCGAATAAGAATGATATATAATTTCAAAAATATTGATAGCCATCTATATATCGATAACTATCGATAAACATCTATTATATAGACTAATAATAATAATAATAATAACTTTATTGGACATTGGCAAATTGTTATTACGAAAAAAAAATATTCAATTTCAATTTTTCAAAAGGAGAAGTACAGGATGCTCAGTGAGGGGCTCCTTTTCTTCCACTTAACCCTTTAGGGAGAGAGGGAACTATCGATATCGATAACTATGGATTTCTTCTCAACATATTGGAACAAATGCATTTATTTTATTTGTGTCACCTCTAGACGCTATCATAATATCCAGACAATAGTTATAATATTTTTGAAATCGGTTTTTATTTTATTCGCCAGGTTTGTTCAGGCATAAAAATATATTGCTTAGGTATAGGTAGGTAGTTTTTATGCTAATTTAATTAGTTTGGTTGAAGAGTCTATAACCTTTGATGGTTTGAAGGAGAAATAAAATTATTTTGAGGGAAAAAATCGATATATAATATTATAAATATCAATATATCGATATAAGTATCGATATATCCAATGAGAGGAAGCTTTCGTGACTGTTCTATAGGTTATATTCAGGGGAATATTATAGTGGGAAGTAGCCGCTGTGAGCAATTTCAGTTCGACTTCTTCGTTTTTTTTTTGTCGAGCTTTCGAATATATTCATTTTCTTCATCAGGACTTACTAAAAACACCGAATGAACAACAATGTTTGCATATAAATGTATATCAATATGTATAATTTCAAAAATATCGATATATTGATATATCGATATAACAATATTTGTCGATATATCGAGCTTATCAATATCTTATCAAAAGGATTATATACAACACTATCATACTTCCCCACTTCACTTACTGCTCAACTATTTTGTAATTACTAAACCAAAATCAAATATATAGATTTCAAAAATTACAGAACCGATCAATGCGCATAATCCTTCGGTGCAATAGACGTACTCATATTACAACAATGTTGACTAGACTATCCTGACGGACTCGTCGTGTTGCTGGGCAACACAATTTCGTGAACAATGAAGCGACAGAATCATCTCGAATATTCAGAACATCGTGATATTATTTATGATAACGCACACTTTGAGCCAAGAACTTCTGGAAACAGATTTTTTTCCTGAAATTAGGAAGGCTCTGAAGATCCTTGTTGCTTCACCTTGTAAGACTTGTAGTGAGAGGTCTTTAAGTAGCCTTCAGAGAATCAAAACCTGATTGAAGAGCACCATGTCTGAAGCTCGACTCAATGGCCTCGCAATATGATGAGTGTACACAGGCAAAATATTTTCAAAAACTATTAGAACGATTTCGTCAACAAAGCGACCAACGAATTCACAAAGAACCCTACAAGATCAGTGTTCAATTGATTTTCTATAGAGATTTTTTCCGTTTTCATTAATTTTTCTCATTAAACTTTTCTCATTATTCCAAATTTTTTGGGATTTTCTCTCCTCGTTTCTATAAAATAAAAATATGAATATTATTTCAATATACGTTTAGTAAGGACAAATCAGATGATTTGCCCCAAAATGTCACTGCGTTTAAAGAATTTTCCTATCAGAGAGCCTAAAAGGGAAATTCACTAGCTTGTCAGTGACAATTTGTATTGAAAAATTTTTGGAGAAGAGAAATAGAGGTATATAGAAAAAATTTCAAATTTTCACTTATCTTTGGACGTTTCGGGACCGATTCTGCTCCCGTTTTCAACATGAAGAGATTTTTTCAATTGCGAAGTCGTATAATATGTCTTGAAGCTTTTCAGTTTTCAATGACAATTGGTGACGTTGGCAATAATAATAATAATATTCATATTTTTATTTTATAGAAACGAGGAGAGAAAATCCCAAAAAATTTGGAATAATGAATGTACCACCTCCTCGATTAACCTACAGACAGTATTTAAACTTTTCTCATTTGATTTTCCTCTTTAGTTTTTTTTTATGGTGCCCACCCTTAGCTTTCCGGTTGGCAACGCCCTTGCTATGGGCCGAAAATTCATTTCATAATGAAAAGTGCGTGTTTCCATTGACCAAGATCTGTTTCACGAAGGAAATCCGTGATAAAATTAACAATATCAATAAATCGGTAGCAAATATTTGATTCGCGTAAACGGGCGAGTAGAAAAAGTTACTATGTTCGGGTAAATTCGACTCCTGTATTTTGTACAGTATTAAGACTGAACCCTTATAGTGAATTTTATTTATTTTATCAAAGTAGATTCATGTTCTGTTTTTGTTTCAGGAGAACATCCTGCAGCAATGCAACACGGAACAAGGAACACAGCATCTCCATCTCTCTCGATTCCCATCACGATCGTTTACAGTTTGTTCATTATCCTCATAAAACATGGAAGATGAAACTTCGTGTGAATATAGTTTTCAGATTTTCCCGTTTGTGACCCCCACACTGTCACCTTCACTTTTCTTCCATTTTTCATTGTAATATATCCCACTCATGCCTTTTAGTTGAGTAGTGAAGACTTCTTATTAAAAGTTATAATTAAAAAAGTTATGTTTTTCCATGGCGGGGCTACATATTGGGTATGCAAAAAAGAAAAACTGAGATCATGCTGTAGAAAGGGTGATTCTTGCCGAATGCTAATTTGACTTTAGTTCAAACATCATACGCCGATATAGAATATCTTAAAATACGACAGCACATCAATTGCCAGGGTTTGAATAACATTTTCTATCCAATTTTTTCCTTTTGAATCAACTTTCCCTACTTGAAGGCAGGTAATTTTAGATAAAAGGAGTTGTTACTTTTAGAAGTTGGAATATAGGATTTGTAAGTTGTCAATATAGTTCAACTTCAGCAAAAAACATCTGGAATAGAAAATATTGAATGTACACAAAACAAAAAGTACGCCGAGAAAACTATAGTTATGAAAGTTATTCTTTCTCTGAGGAAACACAAATATGCTCCATTTCAAGTTTTGTATTTTTTCTTTTTATGTAATCCAACGTATACAGAATACGAGTCAGGTCGAAGAGATTACAGGGATCCATGGCACACATACAGGGTTGAATCTATTTTCTAAAGAAATAATTAGCACACGCCGCAGGATATTTTAGAGAAAAATGAAAGCACTATTGTGACAGAAAATCCTTTTGTGAGGAATTTTTTGCCAAAGGGAGTATTACAAAGAAATTATATCATCTCCAAAGCTTTCATTTGAATGATCCGAGATCAATCATAATTTGATTTCATATTTGTTCATCTCCACGTTCCTGAAAGATTTTGATAAAAGTGATAATCCCTCATTTCGTTTTTATTTATTTTCTTGTTCAATATAAGAGGAAGAGATTTTGAATTTTGCGTAACGCGGTGACTAATATCATGACAAAGAAGTTTGGATTGTCAGAAATATTCCATTTTCAATAGGTACATACTTTCAGAGATTCACCATGCACTTCCCTTATTTCTTATGGGCTCCATATTTGTATTTTATACCATATATTGAATATAGGACTCAAATTCCTTTCATCCTTGTCATGATGTTGTCATGATTAATCAACTGTCCACGCAAAATTTCGAATTTTTTATATAATATTAACCAAGAAATTTAGTGAATTTACAGTGAAGGGAGAGACTCCCAAATGAGCTTCTCACTGGAAATAAACACTTCCGTATTTCAAGTGCGCGATGCATGGATAGCCAGGCGTCACTAGAAGCTCTCACGAACCCGAAAGTGACATCCGGACTGGTACGGGAATGCTGAGAAGAACACCAGGGCATTGTGGCATGGTAGGGAACGAAAAAGCTGATGAACTGGCAAGAACCGACCCATCAACTCCATACATTGGCCCAGAACCCGGGGTTACAAAAACAGCTACCCGAGGCTACATACGGGACTGGATTATCAAGAAATTTTTACGATTTCTATGAGTTTTTTGTATTCTTTCAGTCATTCATTACAGATGTTAAATTGCCTCGATTTTTTGTTTTTCAAGTTGAACGAAAAAGTTGGGAGATGGGGGAAAATATGTATACCTACATGAATAGTCATCTTCAGAACACAATTTGTAAATAATAATAGCACTCTTGACAACTTCTGGAGTATCAGCGCTGACTGTTTATAGCAGTCTTGTCAACTTCTGGAGTATCAGCGCTGACACCTTATAGCAGTCTTGACAACTTCTGGAACATCAGCGCTGACACCTTCTACTGGCGACACAGTCTTCTGAAGAAGACTGTATCTATGTATCCCTGTATAACTTTTCTCAAATCAACTCCATAATAATTGAAAAGGAATATTCTCAGATATAATTGTGAACATAAAAAAATTGATAATATATAAAGAAATGCATTGGGAATTCGCATTCTCTATATGTGATGAAAATATCGATTCTTTCTCGGCCTATTCAACAGAAAACAACTACTTTCCTGGCTATATGCTACGACGAACATTGAATTATATCCATTGAACACACACGATAATAACGTGAAAACAAAATCTTCTAAAGTAGAGAATTTGCATTCTCCTTCATATACAGATATGTATATATATGCACATAAGATTATTCTGAATATTCAACAGAAAAAAACTACTTTCCTGAATATTCAGAATAATATTATGTGCATTGTGTACATGAAGGAGAATGCAAATTCTCTACTTCAGAAGATTTTGTTTTCAAGTTCTTATCGTGTGTGTTCAATGGAAATAATTTAATGTTCATCGTAGCATATAGCCAGGAAAGTAGTTGTTTTCTGTTGAATACGCCGAGAGAGAATTGATATTTTCATCACATAGATAAAATGCGAATTCTCAATGTATTTGTTTGTACAGTGTGGCCCACTTCTAATAGAGACACCCCTGTATCTTACGTAATCGTTGGGTAAGGAACCTGAAATTTGCTGGAGCGAGAGATATACCAAAAATGCACTCTATGACCAAGTGGGGTCATCATCAGTGATATACACTGCTCGCCAACAGCCATGGAAGTAATTTCCGGAAAATCATATTAGGAGTCAAAATAGGTCGAAAATCACCTCAGATTAGGAATCAGGACGCCCAATTCACTAACTATTCATATTTTTCCGGAAAATTTTTCAGTTCTGAAAAATTAAATTTTGTGGCACTTTTTACGGAAACACCCCCGTATATCTTACATAATTGACTTTATCTTTGGACTTTCTCTTCCTCCTGCAAATTTCAGAACCCTACCTCAATAATTACGTGAGATACGGGGGTGCTTCCATGAGAAGTGAGACAAATTTTAATTTTTCTGATCTGAAAATTTCTAGGAAAACTATAAATATTTGGTGAATTGGGCGTCCTGATCCCGAATCGGAAGTGATTTTCAACCTATGTTGACTCCTAATATGATTTTCCGAGAATTGGTGTGGTTCCATGAGTGTTGGCGAGCAGTGTATATCACTGAAGATGACCCCACTTGGTCATAGAGTGCATTTTTGGTATATCTCTCGCTCCAGCAAATTTCAGGATCCTTACCCATCGATTACGTAAGATACAGGGGTGTTTCCATTAGAAGTGGGTCACACTGTATATACAGGGTGTCCCACTAAGGTCAGCCAGGTACGATATTTTGGAAACCATAAACCTTACAGCTTCGGGAAAAACAATCTATCAACAAAATCGGCGATGAGAAATTAATTCAAAATATTTTCAAGTTTTGAAATGACCGGTAGGGGGCGAAATTACTATATGATTCAACGAGAGATTCGAATTATCTCAGAAAATCACTGGGTAAGGTGATTTTTTGTTAACGGAAATGGAAATATCATCAATTTATTGTTGTGTTGTTTCCTAGACTTTTTTTCGTATCTTGAATAATAATAGTGGGGGAAGCTTGAGAACAAAATATGTTTCAGAGTGCTGTATCTTCCATTCCCCTTATCAAAATTCAATCAACTTGATTTCACACATATTCAGAAAGTGGCTTCCTTTACGGTCGCTAGTTTATATCGCGTCTCATAGAGGGCGTCCCCTAACAACACAGGATCTTGCTAGTACATCCCGCTAAGGTCCTATAAATGTCCCAATGTTTCAGACTTAGGTACGATATCCCAGAGATGTTTCTCTTGGGACATCCATCAGATGTTTTCATTGGATGTTCTAGAAACATCTCATTTGATCTTTTTTTATAAACAATATCATGGTTCCATATTTGCTAATGATGATTGACATGATTGAACAGTTCAAACAATTGTGACATTTGAAATGTTGGAAATTTGGTAAAAAACGGAAATCAAAACTGTATTCGTACTCATATACTTATTCCTATACCCAGATAGCACAATGTCATTCATAGAACGTTCATAGAATATTCCGCGAGAATATTTGAATATTCTCAGAATATTCTCACAATGTGGTTCAAATATTCTAGGGACGTTCTATGAACATTCGGAATGTACTGTTTCAAATATTCTAAGAATATTCCTAAACCTCCTACCTTGTGATTGAATTTTTACGAACCTGAAACCATGTCCACTTCTCCACGAAGCTCATTGAATAATAAAATGGATACCAAGATGACAATATTGAATTAGTAGGATAATAATACTTGAGGCGAGAAAAAAATAATACAAGAATAGGAATATTAATATCATATATTTTGATATGATTCTAAATATTCTAACAATATTCTGAAAGAATATTCTCAGAACATTCAAAAAGAATATTCTGAGAATATTTCAATATGAATGTTCATAGAAAATTCTTCGCAGGATGAGAATATTCTATGATCATTCTGAGAACATTCTTCGAGAATATTCTAAAATGAGTATATTTGAACGTTGTCAGAATATTCATAGAATATTCTGTGCTGTCTGGGTACCAAAGCCGGCTAATTTCATCGATAACAAATTGAAATGATTATACTAAATATTCCTCAATAAGATTACCAAAGTACCTGCTTAACTTCATGAACCATGTAATAAACGACAAAATTTAAATATATCTCTTCAGCATATTCATTGCTGAATTTATTTGTTATACCAGCCGATAGATGGCGGTACAACTACGTTGCTAAGAGTTACTAACAGCTGTCGGCCGAGCGCCAACAAATAAGAGCCTCAAACAACTGTTATCATCTTCCATTGGTTATTGAACTGCACCGAACTTTTATATTTTCGGATTCGGATTGTTACCTTATTATATCTGCAAATAGGTCGGCCATTCTCAGGATTTCAGAATGAAAATAATTCATACCGTGTCATCCATCACTGTCATCAAATAAAAAACATCCTAAAAGTTTCTTCAAGATGTTCCATATCAAGTACCCTGAATGTCTCTGGTACATCCCGTATCATCCCACAAACATTCTGATGGGATGTTTATAAGACATCGCAAATGCTGACACGGGTGTTGCCAGCAACATCCCAAGAATGTCCC